TATCGAACGAACAGTCACTTCCGCCAAATCCAGCATTACAGATACAGATTCCTAAAATTTTATAAAGGTAGGCATTTGTGATTTACATTATTAAGACGACTCTCTTGTGCGTTATCTGTAAAACAATACTCAAATGTACTGACAATGAAAAAAAACAATGAATTAAAGTATAAACTTAAGCCTGCGTCTTTGGAGCATATCATGTACATTTTATGTGATACAAGAACACTACATGTACATGTACCTGCTTGAAAGAGAAAACATTTATTCAATTAAAAGGTATAGCATGTACCTTTTGAGCAATCCCCATGGTCACTACAGTTGCCAGGACAAACACTCAATATTTCATAAGTGATCGAGGGTTTTTCATTTTGAAGAGTGTTGTTCAGGTTTATGAAAGTTTGACATTCAGATAAAGCACTTTCTAGATGGAATGAAGTCAGATTTGGATTTCCCGTAAGCTACAATTAGAAGATATCAAATGATATAAGTGAAAAAATTGTTTCTTAAATTGTGTTTGTAGGTAAGGATATATTATCCATTGATTGATTAAAAAGGGAAACTCACAGACACATCTGCAATGCAGTTTTGAATAGAATCATTGGAAAAATCAGCTACATGTTCTATACATGTTTGAAATGGGATTGAATTATCAAACTCTGCGTTACAAATAGCAATCACTTGTTCATCTGTGTATGCAGCTTGCCTTCGTACTCTCTAAAATCCGAAAAAAAAATTGATGACTGATATCTGAATAAAACTTTGTATGTATGTAAATGTATTTCCAATAACTTTAAAAAGGTATTTTTATGATTGTATTACTATCTTCACTGTTTAAAAAAACGTTGGGAAGCTAATTCACTACAAACATGCAAACTGGACCTACCAGAGAAGTTGAAGTCTCCATTGGGTCAGGATTAAATGACGTCATGTATTCTGCGTGTCTCTTTCGCCTGTTGCTACTACTGTGGAGTAGACACTGGTATTCCTTTCCACGTGTTGTTGTGCCACAGTCTGTGTAACTACGGTAACTGCACTCTGTCTTCTTTTCTTCGTTACATGTGCAAAGTTGAGTCTTTATAAGAGATAAAGAACTCAGTGTCTTAAAATCCATCAACGCAGAGAGAAGATCCTCACTGGCTGATACCCTGAAATGTATGAATTCATATTTTTGAATTTTTTTTTTTTTTTTTTTTTTTTTTTTTTTTTTTTACATTTTTCTCATTTGAAGCAAAAACACTGATTCTGCTCCGTGTAAAACGTGATGTCACAATACCCCATATCAACGTCTGAAAACCTACATCACTGATCACATGTATATCAAATGGAAAGTACCCAAATTTACGAAGTTTAAAAATCAATTTAATAAATGTAATGAAATATATAATCATGCAATACTATTCATATTCAAAAATGTGATAAGGGAATTAGTTTGAATTGTTCTAAAGCTTCTTTGGATTTAAAAAATAAAAGACAATATACATGCATTTTGATACTTTTATGACTTTATGAGAACTTGTATATCAAATATTAATAAATAGGGCACCTGATCAACACTTTAATGATTTGGAGGACCGCGTTTCCGCTGCTCCTGTTTTGTATTGTTTTATGGACTTTTGATCTTGAATACTGCTCGTTTTTTTCTGTTTCATAATCAATTGACAATTACACAAGGGCTCTTTGGCTGGGGCTAATGGAACTTATATACAAAAAATGTACATGTACTTTATGATTTGAATATGTCATATTCTATAAAAATTTAATGAAATAAAAATGATCAAAATTACCTCCAGGAAATGGAAAAATCATCTGGAGGATTATAATAGCCGAAAGTGTTTGGGCTGTCTACAGTCCCGTCTCTCCTTGTCAGGTCGTTCTGGATACCACCTCCTAAAACGCCACAGAGACCTGAACTTTTTCCAACATCCGCCACCGAAGGGTAGACTTCTGTTTGTAAAAACCAGTCACGTCTCAAATATAATGTTGTTGTAACATAGGTTCCAGTTGGAAAAAATATCTGAAAATAAAAAAAATAAGCTTCAGTTCTGACTTTGGGAAATAGTTTATCTGCGTGTAAAGTGTACATTGAGGCGAACAAAAGAATTTTCCCATTTACAAGCAGGTATGCAAGAGACGAAATATACATAGTAGTACATTCTACTTACTTTATAAGACCTATCTGTAACTTTGACAACCTTCAGCGATTTATCATCACAGATTGGGAAGTTTATATAGTATCTGCCATTGCAAGCGTCGAAGACGAAAACATCTTTCCCAGATCTCACAGCCAAGGCACAGATACAGCGTGCATTGGGATAGAAGCATTTGTGGTGTCTCACTTGCACCTAGAAATAATCAATTATTGTAGGCCTGCAGGACATTTGTAGAAATTAAAGTGGAAATGTAAAACCAATGTTTCTTTATTGATTACCTCCTGATCATGGTCTTTATTTTGATATAATACACTCGTTATTCCTGTCTTGCATCCAATATGCTGACATTCATAATAACTAAAAAAAGATTTTGAGCTAGTATTTAATCATTTTGTATAAAATGAGAATCAAATTTACTTAAAATATGTTTTAAGTGTGCTTCAGTGGTTAAAAAAGCATAACTCATATTTTCCTTTTGAAAAGAAATTCAATGATTCAAAGAATTACAAATTATTTAATGACTGAAGCTTGGTTTAGGATAAAGATAAGTTATAACTAAACGGATATTTCTTATACAATCGTGCAAATGTGGCATTTTATTTGTACCTTTGTCTGTTTGTTTGTGTGTCATTTAACCTTCCTCTCGAGAAATGTTTACTCGTATGGAGACCCCACCAATTGGCGGTGGAGCGCTGTAAACTTATACCCAAACTCAACACTTAAGGCTATTGAGCAGTGAACGGTCTTTTTTGTGTCAGTGGATTAGAATCCGCGACATAAGGATGAACTTCTTACTTCGTGACTCTGGAGCAGACGCTCTTACCACTGAATATGTGTAAAACTCTACTTTTTGATTGTCTCTAGTACATTCTGGTATCAATACATAATGTAATTATTTTCGAATCAATACCGATTGATCGATAATATTGATTTTAATTGATAGTTCAAGGCTGGAGTTCATAAATTCAAGTCATATATCAAAATTCTATTTACTAGTATTTACTTTCACTTATCTACAGTCTACAAATAAACTTTCATATGAGGGTTATAAAGACTAATTTTTCATTATTGTAAAGACCATTACAATTTAAGAAAATCCAAATGAAAAGGATTTACATGATTAATAGACTGTTAAACTTTGCTTAATCAAATTTTATCATGATTCACAAAGAAATGTCTAACTACTCACTATCCATCAAATGATCTCATATGAGGGTCAGCATGTGAGTAACAATACTTTCCTTTCCATTCAGTCTGGTTGTCAATAATATTTATCTGTGACGACATGGCAAAAGATTAATAATATCTCGCTGTATTTTTGAACTTCCAATAAATATCAGAAATTTGGAAATCATTAATTAATGGATAAAATCAGGAGCCTCATAAATAAGATGATTGTTTATTGCTAAATATTTGCAATACAATAGTTGGTTTCCGGGGATTTTAAGAAAACATTCATTGACTTTATTTTTTTGAAATTGAAATTTGCAAAGTTCTTAATTTCTTCAGACATATTATGGAAAGGTTTAACTAAATTTTTTTACTTGGACGTCGGTGAGCAGGACACCTTCATATACTTTTGCTGCCTTTTCGCCGCCTCCTTTGGTCTTTAAACGTAGTAATACACTGTTATCAATGACATAGCCTATGTTATCCCTATTATATAAGGTCATTGTGTACTCTTTGTACCACTGGCTGCGATCGTTGTATTTCTGCCTTTCGCTGTACTTGAAGCTTGGAATCTTTATTTCACAGTGTTTCGAATTACCAGCCGTTGTACAAGCGGCCTTTATATTTGTCGGGAAATCCAAGGAAATAGACAGATAACCAGCATCCTCTATATTGTGTGCTGGTAATGCCAAGGTCTGTCTTGCATAAGGTATGGTGGGTCTTATTTTAAGCGTTGTTTCTCCCTTTCTTAAGATATCCAGAACTGGTGTCAGCACCTGAAGTAATTTAAGCAAATGTCTTTGACAAAAGAAAGAGAGGTTCAGAAGGCTATGTTTTCTCATTCATTTCATTTTTTACCTCAATTCCTGCGAAAAATAAGGAACTGGATGTACTGTTACATGGTGAATCCAAGACTGATTTCTTTGCACCAACCACACAGTGTATCTGCATATATAAATTCACATATACTGTAAAACACGCTTTTAGTGTTAAAAGATTAAAAAAATGTATTCAAATAGTGAAGGGTTTCATACCGAGCACTCGATTTTCTTTCCAGCATTATAAAGATCCCCTGTTGTGAGTACAGCATCAACCAGTGTTGTGTTGTCCACAGTCTGGTTCTCTATAATCCTTGTGTTATCCACGTACCAATCGATGTGATAATACAGAGTGTTATCCGAAAGTGGAGTGAACTGACAGCGGAGCTTTACAACAGGATCCCATTGTGTTCCAATCGCATTTGAGACGTTCTTGTAAGAAACTCCTTGGTAAACAACTTGAAGGTTAGTTGGCGTTTCCTTTACACCTGTAAGGTTACAATACTTTTGATACACCTGTAAGATTATAGGTCATATAATATAAATATATTCCAATTCCAACGTTTTTAGAGACAAAAAATTACATGCAGTATATTAGACCAATTTGTACCTAATATTTCTTAATCTTTGACACCGTTAAATATTGTACTGTAAAAATATATTTCTCACAAAAAGATTAATAGTATCTTAGGTCGATATGATAAGGGAGGGGGGAGGGGAGGTTAGCTACCTACAAAATGTACGGTAAGAGTTTTTTGGCTAAATAAAGTTGCCGGACGTCAGTAGACCCTGCAGGACATAAGACCCAGTGCATTAATTAATATAACTTGATATAATATTCAGACTTTCACGAGTTAAGATGACTTTTTTCACTAATAAGTGGTATTACATACCTGTGTGCTTTTTTATGCACAATTTGCAATTTAAGCGCAATTAAGCATAAACAAAGTAATCGAATAAAAAGCTTTAAGCTAATACTTTTCTAAGTTTTAGTACATTCTACTCACAGTTGTCATATTTTTCTGAAAAAAGAAGGAAAAGCATATTACACGTTATACCTTTTATTGAAATATAACATTATTATTGGAAGACGGGATATTTTAACATCTCTTTTACTCTTTCTATCTGTCTCTCTTTTACTTTGCCTCTCTCTCTCTCTCACACTGTGTGTGAGTGGGTGAAAATTAAAGTTATACATTTCTATAATTATCTTACCAAAACAATATGCTGAACTGCAATAATCCAAAGACTTGAGTTTGTAAACAAAGAAGGAATCACATTTCTTCACTCTAATGTTGATACTTGTTTGGCATTTTGATGAAAGGCTTACACCACAAATTTCAACGTCTATCTCTTCTCCAGCAGAACTAGGTAGTGTTCCTATAAACAGACATCACTAATATTAGATCGATCAAAATGAAATTGAAAACGACCTTTGATCAAACGAGAAACTATTGATTTGCTATGGCCCTAGCAACCAAAGGTAACAATTTTTTTTTCTTTTTTTAATCAAAAGATAGATAGAAAAAAAAACAACTAAGAAACATTCATTTAACAAACAGATGTAAAATATTCAAAATATATTAATGTTCTTTTTCATGTTCAAAATTTGTCTTCTGATTTTTTTTCTCTCGATATGATTGTATTCAACATTGGCAAAAAATTGTCAAATTCTGTAGGAAATATAATTATGCTGATTACACTGATACATTTACTAAGGAGGATAATTGCTGTAATCTTAAATATATTTACTAATACTATTTTATTCACTAAAATAAAGAAATAATTATTAGAACGTTTTCAACCGTCATTTCTATGTCTTTTATATAACATGATATTATGTAGGAAAATATTATTTCATTTACCTTTCATCCAGAATGGATAAAGAGTACCACAAGTGGCTAGTCCAGGCGGTGATGTTGGCATGAGATAAGAGGGGGTGCTGTACCATCCTTCTGTTAGAAACTCATCGCACAGGGGCACAGAATCCATGACGTAATTTGGACTTCTCTTTAAAAGGTCCCCAAGTTCTTCATGATTTGTTGGCAAGCATGGATCCCCAGCAACTGATTTATTATATAATAAAAATATCTTAAGTCATACAAAACAAGTTGATAAGTTTTATGATGAAAGTTTGTAAAATGAAAAAAAAAAATCATCAATATCTTAACTTTTCAAAAATGTAAAAGAAATCTAGCTTACATGAAAAGCAAAATTATTTCTGATTTACTATTACCGGTACATATAATTTTTGATGTGCAATCAGAGATATATTGCTAAATCTAAACAGGATACTACTCTTTTAATTGAGATGATATCTGCAATGAACATAAAACATAATGATACAAAATAATGTTAGGAACTGCAAAGACACAACCATGTTATGCAATTATTGTGTACTAATTTTCATTTCTTTACAAAGTTAGATTCTTATTCCTATCCATTTAGGTGAATTAAAATTTCGTCTTATCAATAGATACAATACTGTCATTTATGTTATATTTAATACAGCGTATTCACTTTCAGCCCTTTTCTTCAGCTCTTTTAAATAAGAAGTATTTAAAATTGATATTTGATTGAAACAAAAAATCATCATCGTAACACACAAAAAAGAGTTAATTCATTTGCAGAAATGATTTAAGTATATTGTTCTTATGAATAGTAGAAATAAATAAATAGTTACTCTACTTATTCCATAATTAAATAAAATAATCGGAATGTAAATAGAACAACAATCCGAATATATATGTAAATGTCATTCATAAAACCATACACAGTGTAAAAATCAGGAATATTTGTCCGAAAGACAATACTATCTTTTTAAAAGATAAACTGAATATCTTTTTTTATTTTACAAATTCACATTCATAAGTGTCTATAACCAGTTAAGGTACCAATCTGGCACAAACATGCGATCTTCTAAAGATTTATTATGAAAATTTATTATTAAGTTACAGAAAGTATTCTTACCATCAGTCAACTAACTTATATTAGTGGTCGACAGTGACAACGTCTTTTGTTATTACAATAGCAGTTTGTCCGTATATTTTGTACTACCTGGGAACTCAATCAAAAAGACTTTGCTAAGAAAACTTCCATTTCATTGATATACTAGAAATCTGGTGATTTTTATCATATTTTCTTTCTTCTGTATTCATTTAAAGTCTCTTAAGGTGTCATTACAACATCCTTATCAAACTGAACTGCTCTCCGGTGAGCCGTGACGTCATAAATGATCGCAATTTTTAGTGCATTTTGTTTACTACCTTCCCATTTCGAATGCTCGAGAAACTATTATAAATTAACCAAATGCTTTGAAACTTTTATAAAGACGACAAAATTAATTAAGGAATCGAATTATGATATTTTTTTTGCCAAATCTTATGCATTGAAAACTTTATTACGAATTAATGAGGAACAGGACCTTTATCTTAAAAAATTCCTGTCAATAAATTTTTTTCGTATTTTTTATATTACAAAATTTATATGTACTTAATATTTTAAAACGGTCAAGTCATGGGATTTCTTGACTTATTTAAAAGATATCGCCCACAAAAACCGCCTTGTTTAGAGTTTGTATTGAGTTTAGATACTTCATGTTTATAGGCCTATAACGGAGTCCATAATGCGACTTTTTACGCACAAACGAATAATATGATAGATAACCATATATATTCAAATATTTCAGAATATTCATAGTGTTTAAATTATCTGAAAGCAATTGTTTTAATTTTATATAGTATTTGAGGGGGATAATTTCTGCATTTTCCAAAGCAGCCTCAACGATAAAAACCTCATTTGGAAAAGATTCTGTCAATGCATATTTCTAAAATTACGATTGAATGTCAGTCCTTCATCGTAATTATTTACTGCAAAAATATCACAGGGTGAAGCTTACATTAATATCGCACATGACATCGTTGAATTAGACGTAAGCATGATAAAAACGCTTCACATTGTATTTTCCCAGTGCAGGAAATCAACTGTGACGTCACACGAAAATATAAACATTCAAAATTTTCTAAATAGAGAGAATCTCTGCTACTAAACACGAAAAAATATTGATTTTAAAAAATCTTCAGAAATTTATCACGATACATTGATTGTGACCTGTTTATTATGAAATAAAACTGATCATGACGGGTGTGTGTACCTGAACTCGCTACACTGAGAATTCAAACACTACGTTTATGACGTCACTAACGTCAGACTGCAGGGTAAAAAGAAACAAATGTGTGGATTGGGCAAGTTCACAATATCAAAATGATAGCAAGATTTTTTAAAAAATTTATAAATAATAATTTCTAAAATTAATTGTTTAAAAAACAATTTTAGAATTTATAACAAAATTACACAAGAACTGTGGATTTTAACAGCGTTTAAAATGTATATCATCAGCGATTATGACTTGAATTGTCTTTTAAGTCACGTGACATGTGTCCTGTCTCCCCTTAATACGTGTGTATTCTCTATTATAACCTTGTTGCTTTTATCGTGCGCCGTAGGACCGTACCTTGTGCACATACAAGCATAATAAGATCTTCATTTTTGTCTATGTATTATCAAAAACATAATGATGTACTTAAATACGATGAATAAACATTTACTGAAAATTTCACCTTAGCGCGCCCTCATTTTTTTTTTAGAAAATTGCTTTGTCCACGATTTTACAAGACAACCCTTGTATTATTGTTTTCTCTTAAATATCTACACCTCGCACTTCTGTACATGGAGTACATCTCTCTTTTGTATATCAAAGACCCATGCGAATATGATTGATTGATTGTATATTATTTAACGTCTTAATAAAAAAAAAATTCACTCATATTGTGACGTCATTGCAGACAAATAAGGTGATCAGTCAAGGGTATCAGAAGTCCTGTTAATATCAACATTTTGTGCATTATCGAAAAAGCGATATTTTCAGAAAAATCATTCTAACTATCATTACCTCAAATGTTGACTTTTTTTAAATACAAAATGTTACACTATTTTTTTCTATACTGATTTGTCTGTGATTTTTTTTGCTTCCTTTCTTGGGAGGGAGTATAGGCTGGGTTAGGCCTGTACGTCGTCAGTTTTAACACCTCCATGGTAGCTGATCCATTTCAGATATTTTCTTAGGTCTGTGTTCGCTCTGCGTAAATTCTAATTCTGTATTGTCTTAATAATCCTTTTTTTAAAATATTGTTTTGTTTTTATTATCATTGTTTTTCATTGTAATCACTTTGATTATAAAATAGTATGTGCATCAGTTTCGGATGCATTTTTCCACTTACTCATATATAGTAAATAATGACATTTATCAGTTTTACTTTATTTTATCATTACTATATACAGGGTTATTTACGCCCCGTCTTATTTTCGCCCTTTATCTCTTGTGAACAATTTCGCCCCGTTTTAAATTCGCCCCTTTATAATTATGTTTAAGAAACTATGCTGTGTTAATTCTAGAAGAGGACGAAAGGGGCGAAAATTAAGCAGGGGCGAAAATTTCCCTGTATACATTATATATTTTTAATTATGCAAAAAATTGTATAAAAGAATAATGGTAAATTTTTTCATCCATTAGTAGTTGGAGGTTAACATGTATTTCTTAGTTAATGTTACAATTTATATGCAAAAAAAAAAAATATATATATATAAATTAGTTAAGCTTTAAAACTTGGCTAATTAGTTAGAGAATCATCAGTATTTATTTGCAGATAAATGTAAAAATAGTTCATTCTTTAGCATTTTGTTTTCCTACTCTTTCTGACTTGCAATGCAATTTTTATTACATAAACTGTCCTTAGATTTTTAGTTGTATCCATGATTTCAAAACGTCGTCAACTTAGAGAACAAAAATCGAATCCCCATACTGACCATGACATATCCGTTGACTACTTAGCTAAATACTTTATCAATCAAAAAGAAAGGAAATAGCTCTTACCAATAACACGTCCATGAATAATTACAAACCAGCACAGTTTTACGCCGGTAAAAGCCATAGACAAATCCCAAAGTTTGACAATTTACAAAACACCTATGAATGATAATCATCCAAATGTTTATTGTTTTCAAAATCGAACTTCCATACGTTTTGCCGTTTAGTTATACTTTTTTTTCAATTTGCAATAGTTTAATGAAATATCAAAAAGAAAACATAAAACATTTTAGGCCGTGAACCACACTATTTGAAATCTATATTGAATTAACAGTGTTTGTAACCCTTTATTTTACCTGGGACAGTCAATTAGCTGATGACATAATAAGCTTTTATATTATATCAGCCAATCATATTTTCCCGGAAGTTCCAATACTTAAAAAAAACATTTTGGCAATATACCCCTGGTACACAAGATAAAACAATTGTTTGGAAACACAATGCTGTCTATTTAAAAAGGATCTAAATTTAAGTGTCAATTGTAACGATTTAAAATTCTTATATTTTGAAGGTATGTTATCTTTAAAAAATACAATCATTATCCCTTGGATTTGTTTTACAGTCTAGTACTAGAGAAAATGAAAAAAAAATCAAAAGAATATCAAACAAAAGAAAAGAATGTACATGTATTGAAATGGCTTCTTTTCAGGTTTGACATAATCGTAAATGAATGAGACAATGCAAGGAACTCTCTTTTTCATAAAACAACAAATAAATGAATATAATTCTGTAAGAAAAATAAACCGTTTCCACATTTTATTTTATTTCAAACAAGGAAATTTTCTTTTTACAAGATATTCAGGTTCAAGTATTTCAATGATTTTTCAGTATGCATATTATGCTGAAAAGCTATAGTTCTTTCTTTTATACTCTTTCTTGAAGCTTGCATTTTATATCTCGTGAAATAAATGACCAAGGAAAGTATGTAATTTTTACTCCACATTAAAAAGACAACGTATCTTATAAACCGTTAATGATATTCACTATACACTGTATACTGAATAACATATCTGATATATGTATTTTATATATACCATTACAAAATACCGGCTAAGACGTTCACATT